TAATGTTTGAGAAAGATCATGCAGATTCTAAGTAATTAGGTACCTACATAATTACTTCGTTTGTTGTCTTCTCCTATCAATTACAAAATAGTTTTGAAACCAAATCAAAGTTTTGAATTTAATTTATTTGAATTAGACGAGGAAGGCATTTTAGAACGTCAACAAAAAAAAGTGAAGCTATTTGCTCATTCCAAGGTGTAGATTCCTATAGAGAAGAACGAACAAGAAACTGCATGGGTTACTCTTTTTTAATCAGGTGGATCAGAAATCGGTTTTTCAATCAGAAATCGACAGCCATCCTCAGAAACAATCATGATCCAATTACATTTGTCCTTCCTAAATAAAGTATTAACAAAAACCATTTGTCGAAAGAAAAATGACCGCATTGTTGATCAATTCCATTAGATTAGTTCGTCACCTGTCACTACTACGGTGTTGCAATTAAAAACCCATCAAGTATGGGGTTCGTCTATCGTATGTATGACGCCATGACGTGCAGTGTATAACCATATGCTATGTATATGAAGGTTTTATACTTCGAAACAATATCCGTTACATTTTATTCGTTGAGAAATAATGAGTTTTGGAATAATGCTTCAAGTTCCGGTTGTAACTTGTAGTCCTAGTTTAGAATAAGGTTGTTTATAAATTATCAAAATACTATTCAAAATGTTTGATTCGTGTATGACTGTCGAATCTACTATTAAGTCAGAAAGCAAATTTTAATAAGTACCTACTGAATGAGTAGCAAAATGTAAAATATATTACGCCTTTCATTTCCTGAGAGCATAACTATACAGAAATATACAATTGTAGAGAAACCTTCTGTCACAGACTTTTCTCAATGTCCATTTAAGTTCATATTCCTGTTACCTCCGGAAAGTGACAATTCTTATTCTGGATTCTAATAAAGGAACGTACTTAACTTAATACTACAACACTGTAATCTCACACTAACAAAGCCGCGGTAGTTTCACATACACAACACCGCGACACGTGGCTACTTTTTTAAAATTGCGCGCACGCACGCCACCCCTCGCAATCACCCTGTCGATGTCGATATATTGAACTATTTATAGAGACAGGACGCCGTCTTCCTGCTTCACCAATTAAACTTTAGACACTTGTTTACCTTACTAGCGGTTTTGAACCGTGCACCACTGCACTCGGGAGCCACCGGTAGGACATTGACCCGGACTATAAACTGCAGGATGAAAGAAATTGATGACGCGCGCTTTATGTTCTCTTCTTACTAATTTGAGTCTTTGGTAGAATGTACGAGTAGCAGCCAGCAGGTACGGACTCCGTTCTTCATTCATTTGCTACTGTTTTGTTTTGATTTAGTTTTTTATTTCTCTGTATTTCGTGAAAAAGGTCTTATGAGTTTGATTATCTAATTAGAGCCGATTTATCCGACGCCAGATAAATTTTAACTGAGGAATAACTTTGAATATTTCACAATTCTTCCATACTAAAAGCTGTCAAAAAGCTTTTCACATAAATAGTGAAAAGTGGGTGTTACTTCTGTGTGCACCTCTGCCTACCCCTTCGGGAATAAAAGGCGTGATGTTATGTTATGTTAAAAACTGTCAAATTTTAATGTGAATTTTTTTCTACGCTCAAGAGTCAACCGATAATTAAAAAATCAGCCCTAAGACATTTAAATATAGAAATAGAGCAAACTAACTAATTAAGTAAATACAGAAGACATTTCGAATAATTATGAATCACAGGAAAATTATTAACGACGTTACGTTTTACCGCCTCGTACATTTCAGTTGATTAAACACCAAATTGCAAGTTTTAAAAAGTATTCAATAGCGTTTTTTCTAAGCCTGAGTGATAAAATCGATCAGATATCTATATCGGTCGAGTGGTGACAGCAGAGTAGATTAAATTAATCATAAGTCCTTCTCACTGTCGTAAGAGCTCACTAAAGGACTACACTTAGTATATAGGCAGCATCGCTATCAGATGAAACTACACCATTTATACCTATTGTGATCTCTAACCAGAGCATTTAGGCAGAACATCATGCAGAGAAATCTCTTAGTTAAGCATTTCCACAGGCGTTAGACGTAATTGTAGAAATACGTGCAATATTTTTATTTCGTAGGCCGTTACTACGAAATAAAAGTTTTCGACGATTTTCGTGGCCATAAATCGATTACACACATTGGACATTGGTCCTAACTATAGTTAATAATTGGTTCACACCAATAAGCTACCAAAAGTTGTATCTACTTCGCCGTTGTATCTATGTACCGTATTTTGATTATTTACCCTTAAATACATTAACGTTATATTAAGATTGACTCAGAAAATGTGTCCTGGATTTTGTCAGTTTTTTATTAATATCTACTTAAAACAATTCTCCCCAGACTCGCACTTCCATTTCATTTCAATTCATAACTTCAGAGTCTATATAAATGCACCTTATCACAGATATTTCTATTCTGGTGTATATGTTTGTAATAATGATATCAGTTAAATACAAAGTTGATCGATAATTTCCCTCAACAGAATTATAGAAACTTACCATCTTAATATCAGAAATAGTAGTTAAAGTTGGTACACCTAAACACTAGACAATCATGTTTGTTGGTGTTTTGCCGCCAAAACATAACAAGTCATAGCAACACTATAGATATGTATGGATATAGATGAAGGAAGCTACCTATGAGAAGTATTTACTCCTGCGTAAAGGGACAAATGAAATAAAGATATTTGAAATAATATTTACCCCTGTTGTCATCGCTTGAGAGAGCACCACATCTCTGATCTCACTAACACCTTGTCCAAACACGACATATAAACGCGCCACCGGCAGCATAAGAGTTATATTTCTCTAAACCCTAGGGATTAAATCATAGCGACATCACGTCCACAACAAAACACTAAAATTAGGTTGCCAACACGTTCTATACCACACAAAACTTAATAATTATCTCAAACTATTGAATGTTACTTGCATACAATGTTTATATTACCAGCTGGTTTTACGTAACGAGCCAAACAGCGCCCTACAGGCAGAGAACACCGAAAACTGAACCCACTGAAAGATGTTTTAAGTATACTGCCCGCATACATCGCTACAGAAATATAAAAGTGGTATTCGAATTTGCTAGAACGTCATCTATTGGGTAATAGCGGAACTAAAACAGACATAAAATATATATCAGCGCCATCTATTGACTGATAGTTAAACTACATTATAGTGCCATCTCTTATGTATTTCCTGTACTACTTATACTGCATAACTACTAAAATTGAAGACAGATGGCGATATATGCAGGATTGAATTTCCTTTTATATTTTTAGACATTCCAAGTAACGCTGTATTTTTGGCTTAATATTTTTGTACCCAACAATAGTAAATTTATTTAAATAATTATTTTTACTTTTTTATTTTTTATCGACATTACTATAAATGGCATTTCGCATCACATGTTAAACGTCAATCTACCGTCAGTGTCATATTAATGTGAAAGTTGTGATTTGTTTTTGTTTTTTTAGTAAAATTAAATAAAATTATAAAAGAAACTGACAAAAAAATTTAATAAACTAGTAGAAAATTGCAAGGAATTATTGAAATAGTGCTTATTCATCATGGTTAAAGTATGGAAATTGGGATTGATGAGTTACGACACAGCGTTCAAAATTCAAATGGCGCTGGCTAGGAAGCACTTGGATGCTGTAATGAAGGGTCAAGACTCCACCTGCGACACTCTGTTGCTTGTGGAACATAAACCAGTCTTCACTGTCGGTAGGTTGTCATGACATAACCTAAAACTCCAATTGGAAAAACCTTTGGAGCCAAGTGAAACTACATTGAAAACATCTTACAGCTACAGACCCTTATATTTCTTTAAATTTCTGCAGTCTTAAACTAAAAACCTTATATTTGAGCCATGTTATTCTAGTCAGCCCAAATAATTAACTCATGTTGTTTGTGAATTAATTTATCTCATAAATAAACTTTTCGTTCTAGGAATCAGAGATGACACCTCGAAAAATGAAATTATGCGGCTCCGTGCCCTTGGAGCTGAGTTTAGGAAAACTAACCGAGGTGGTCTCATCACATTTCACGGACCTGGCCAGTTGGTTGCTTACCCAGTGATAAACTTGAAGCATTTCAAGACAAGTGTCAAATGGTATGTGACCAGCTTGGAGGAGACTGTCATCAATGTGTGTGATGAGTTAGGTGAGGATCTCAAGTAGATTTAAACATAGTCAAATATTTAAATATGGGACTCTTTTAAATCTTAATCCCTCAAGAGGTGGATGTACCTATAAAATCATGCAATGTAACACATCCCTTTCATCAGTTACATTATTATCCATGTAATAAAGGGTAACCCTGCATAAGTCCTAAAACATTCAGTATTAACATAGAATTTCGAATTTTAATATGTATTTTTTTACATTTACAGGTATAAAAGGCACAAGGTCCCCATACACTGGAGTGTGGGTAGATGACAATAAAATAGCTGCTATAGGCATACATGCATCCAGGTATGTCACTACTCATGGAATCTCACTCAACTGCGACAATGATCTGTCATGGTTCAACAATATTGACCCTTGTGGCATTGAAGATAAGGGTGTCACCTCACTCACCAAAGAATCTGGTGTTGAATGCTCAGTAGAGAAAGTCACACCCATTTTCCTAAAATGCTTTAACAAAGTCTTTGGCTGTGAAACTGAAGAAATTGATTTCAAAACTCAAGAAGAAATACTAAACAGTGTTTATAACAAACTAATGATACAAACAGCCAGTTCCTAAGACAAAAATATGCAATTTATGATTGTGTTGTTTGTCAATCTGAATCTTGTTACAATTTTACTAGGGGAAATTGATAGAGTGTTAGTATTTATTTACAATTTGATGGTTACACAATAAAAAAAGGTTAAATTTGTACAGTTTATTTCATTTCTGAATTAAAATGAAAAGTAAAATAAATAGATAAATTAAAAATTAATTTAAATAAATAAAGAAGAAATCTCAAGTTGGGTTAAGAGAAACATGTGGCAGTTTGTACATTGCTTGTACGGATGTACAAAGTGTGTTCTACATTTCATCGAAACCCAACTGAAAGTTCACAAGTCATACTAAGCATTGCAGCACAAAGTCAATAAGGTAACAGTATATTTACAAATTGATTTAGTTTTTGTTCTCGTAGTATAAAATTGTTTACCTCAAACTGTTGTAAAATGTATGAAATAGTATTTATGATTACCATAGTGTTACAAAAATGCAAATAGTTGTGACTATTATTACTCCTACAATAATTAATTGCCCTATAACTAACATTACCAATGTAGACAGTTCAGAATAATCCCCTAAAATCAAGGTATGATGAATGCAAGCTTTATAATTTTTCAGGGATTATTCCAAACATTATTTTGTAACTACTGATATGATGAGTACTCAAAAATTGTACAAAACTGGTCAGCTAACTTAAGTATTATAATAAATGCATTGTCTTAAACTGTTAAAATTATCTAATAAATGCGATAATACCCTTTAAACTGCAGTATTAAGGGGACAAAGTAAGATTTTATAAGTTGATTTTATCTACTCATACACCTACTTAAAATTAATAAATGCAATAAATTACTCCTAAATTAAATGCAAATCACGCGGTGGTTACAACAATCATACCAAACATTAGGCGTCAAAATTCAATTCTCAAATCTATACACCACGAAAATATTCACGGAACCTATACTAAATGGACGGATATTGTCTGAGAATACATTGTTTACTGTTGTGTTCGTCAGTCAGTTGTATCACATGTTCGTCAATACAAGACAAGCAGCGGGACGTGGCGTCCCAGTGAGTCGAGACCAACGTGAACATAGCCTCTCTAAGATTAAATTTAATTATGACATGTGCTTGGGCGGTGTCAGCCACTTGCGCATGTAGTAGCAGAAGATGGTCGCGATGTATAGCAGGACAAGCAGGGCGCACGCCACACCCAGCAACAACACGGACGCCTTGCTGGGGCACGGCTCCACGATCGTTACTGTTTTTTCTGGAAGAAATACGATAGATTAATTTTCTTATTTGCCTTAACACGTAAAGAAAATTGTACAAGCACACAACAGATTCGACATTATAATTACCTCCAAAGTTGGCTTCAGATGCCACGCCTCCAGGCTTGTCTGACCGTAGGAAGTCTGTGCTCTGTCTTTCATCACCGAAGTCAAGGACCAGGATTTCTTGTGAGATGTTCATATCTTCCTCCTGACTGTGTGCCTCACTGGTCTCGTTGTGGGGCAACGAACGCTTCTTTCTGCCCCACGACTCCAAAGAATCTCGGCCCCATTCGCACACCGCCTAAAACATGTTAAACGACTTGTCATTTGCGTAATTTCACCGTGACTAACTGAATTAACCGTTGCTAATAGTCACATTTGAAATAAAAAATGCAAACACCCATTTCTACAAAATTGGTGATTCACGCGTCACTCACCGGTTCACAAGGTCCAAGACAGTACTTGACATTACATTGGAAGATGACTCCGTAAGATTCTGTGAACCTGAAGGCTTCGTACACCGATTGGAGTGCATTGCCGTCAGGAGTAAACGCCGGGAAAATTGATGGGTCCAAAGGACATCTAAAAATATAGACTGGTTAAAAGCCATTCTCTACAAAACAAAACATGTGATAAGTGTTAAAATGTACCAACCCTTCATCATCAATAATCGGGAAAGTGCTCTTTGAGTCCTTGGCCATAGCGACACAGCTGCGGGCGAAGATTCCATAAGGAGCTGGGGGAGTAAAATGTAAATGTTAGAACCTGCAATTTCGCGCGTAGATAAATGAACATCTCCATAAAATTAAAGTGCTCACTGTCTTCGGGGATCTCGATGCGGAAGGTAAGCCTGTCTCCAATACGGACGGTCTCCACCTCGCGTTGGCGAGCGTCCAAGATACGGATGCGTGGTGGCGGTGCCTCGGGCGCGGCAGTGATGGAAATCATCTCCGGGTCTCTGTGTAATTAAGGAAATATTCAAATTTCTTGACTGATCAAAAACTATTATTCTCTGCAATTACTTCTTCAAAATTATTTATTAATGTGTGTGCAGAGACATAATGGTACCCTTTTCATGGCGATAGAGATGGTATCAGGCTTTTCAAAATTCATTAAGAACACGTTTGAACAGATTTTGGTGTTAAATTGCTCATCACGTCCACTGGCCGTATCTTGCTGATGTGAATCTAATTGTTACGTGTTTACAATGCAGCACCGATATTGGGTCGATGGAATTTAAAATTGTCTTGGCATGACGGCATGTCGAAATAGCACCCGTTTTTCATATTACTGTAACATATCACGTAACTTTGTCTCTTGACAGACTCGAATAAATTATACGGTAAATCTTACTTAGCATTTTTGCGGTACTTTGCCTACTTCATGAATGAATTGTATTCAAAAAGCAGCTCACGACAAATTATAGCGATACGATGTGAAAGTCCCACTGACCTGATTGGTACCATTCCGAATGTGATGTTCTTCGAGCTCATGTCGTATGTGCACTTGACTTTGTAAATCTTGTCCGCTTTAGTCATCACTACGCTGTGATGTTGGAGGACGACGGTGTTTGAGTATACTCCAGTCTTGAAAGAAAAATCACGTTATTATTACCGCATACCTACTGAATACAAATATTCATTCGCCTCTCAAAATATTTAGATTGGTACTTACGACGCTCTGAGTGTTACAATCTTGGCCAGCCATGGTGAGGTCGAGTCTGAATAGGTCGCTGTTAACGACGTCAATGTTGCAAGTCTCTGAACGTCCCAAAGCATAAATACGTCCATTGAATGGCTTGTTCGTGCGCACTTGGACTGCGATCCTCGTGTCCTTGCAGAGCACGGAAACTGAAACAATAAATTTTATATAGAACACGAGTCTTTAGTGATAAAGGAAAATAAATAATCGTTTATCAAAACTTACCATCGTAGCAGGTTCCAGTTTTGTCGCAGTTGGCATCGTTCCTCGTCAGGTTGCTCGACATGTTCGTGTCTTGTTGATGCTCAATCGTTACCGGGAGCTCGCCAGGAGGATTCGCGTTGCTAGGCGGCTCTGAAACAAATAACAAAGAGTTAAAACACATAGGTAATTCAAGAAGCAAATAAAACCTGGGAATGCATCAAATTACAGAGTTGTTGGTTAATAAAGCCTAATAAATGCATGAATCCTGGGTGCATGTCTATTCGAACCTCTGATTAGGCTGAAGCAAATGGACGTGCGCAGGGTATATTATAATAATCGAATCAAGATTGCTACAACGTACTGCGGCGTACGCGGCCATTTTAAGTGCAACCTAACCGAGCATCATACGCGTACCTCGTTGGTGCAATTATCGTCCCCTATGCTGAGCACAGCTCCCTCAGTTAGCTATTCTAGGTTTTCGCACGCAATCACTACAGACTGCCAGTTGAAAGTTCTCACAACCTCGATTCTAAGGTGTTCTCTTTAATGCATCGTTAACATAAATGACTAAACTGTCATCACATACAAAAAGTTTTTGGTAAAGATTTGGTGATTGGTAGCTACATAAAATTGATTTAAAATCGGGAGTACAACAGTAGAACAGTAGAGATCGGCAAGCTATTAGGTGTCTAACTTTAACCGTTCCAAATCGATTTCTTAGCATAGTGGCAATGTCTGGATACATTCACGACCGCCCGGCCAATAATAAGGTGACGTAAACAAGATTTAGGCCGTTGACCGGTAAGTGTTGGACAAAGGAGGATCTCGCCCACAGCTTTTTGCCACGCCATTGGCCGTTTATGGAACTATGAACAATAGTGCATAAAGATGAAAGATATATGGACCAAAACTTGGTAATGATAATTAATAATATATGTGTATTATTTGATGTGTATCTATCATATGTATGTATAGGTTTATGTATTTTATTGTGATCTATTTATTTAACACATTTCATGTCATGTTACGTACAGTGTCTCTTTTTTTACCGTTTTTCCTGTCGAAGGACTGCAGGAAGAGATTCCTTCGGGAATATGTAGTGGTTCGTCAATATATATATATATGTATAATATGTTTATTTGTAATATACTCTAATATGTGTATTATTTGATGTGTATCTATCATATGTATGTATAGGTTTATGTATTTTATTGTGATCTATTTATTTAACACATTTCATGTCATGTTACGTACAGTGTCTCTGTTTTTACCGTTTTTCCTGTCGAAGGACTGCAGGAAGAGATTCCTTCGGGAATATGTAGTACCTATGTACCTCCAATATATTTATATATGTTCTCCTGTGTACTGTCTGTGTGTTGTGCATAAATAGATAAATAAATAAATAAATAATTATGGTCATTTTTTGTTTCTGGAAATGTACGAGTAACAAAGAACATCTATTACGCCAAGGTAATTAGACCGATTATACAAATCTTTTAAAAGAAATTACTTATTTATTGTGATCAGTTTATGCACAAAACCCAGAAATCAGAAAAAGGGGTAAGATCCAGCAATCGGCAATAACCTGAGTTGAATGATTGACGAACAGTTTTGAATCTTTTTGGACATCCCAATTTGAACTTAGGCACGACGTCTGGTATAGCGTTTAGCGTGGTGCCGTAAGTCTTCTCGGGATGTCGTCAAAAATCATATCCACGTGATTCTGACTCACGAAAATTTGAAATTAGATGACTACTTATCTATACGTACGTAGGTAAGTATATGTATAAGAAGTGCTCAGACAGAAGGAGTTATGTAAGTAAACAAGCTTTTATTTTTATGTAGAAAAAAAAATCAGAATAAACAATTAACCACCAATGTGTATTTCTTATTGTCAGACGTACCTAATGAAGTATTGTATTGAAATATGTAAAATGGCTATTGACAAATGAAATATATTTTATTTCCAATGTCCAACATAAATACAAGTTCTAAGATAAAATTAAATAGCCTTCTGTATGACTGCATCGATATTCAAATGATAATTTACCTACACGTCGATGCTGGAACTATTATGTTAATGACACCCTTAAAGACTGTATAGTCTGGGGTCCTCATTATTCCTGTTTGGAAAATAATTTATGAGTTACGACGGGAGAACCAGGCGTCACTAATATCGAGCTGTAGACCAAAATAAGAAAGAAAAATAACGCGCTTTCATCTTGATGTAGTGCGCTGTAAATCATTAAGTATGCTAACCGTAGCTTATGAGTTAGTTGAACACAGTAAATCTTCATCCGATGGTGTATAGAATGGATAGAGAAAATATACAGTTTTGGTCAAATATATTGGACAATACATAATTCGTGAAATGCGAATGAACTTCAAAAGTCCTAACGATGACTAATAAAGCCGTGGTTGTCAATATTTTAATTTCTGGGGCCCAAAAAAGATAACTTGATTTTTTAATCCGTCATTCTGTTGATCGTGCCTTGTTTCCGAGCCGGAGTCGATGACACCGCTGCAGCAACGAACAGCATATTTGCAACGCTTCAACGAGTTGTAAAAAACTTATCAACAACTTCCCACGGTCGCCTTAATAATGTTCAGCTTAAACAATCACTTAACGCAGGTTACGTGCTCAGTATAATTTATGTGTGGAATATAAAATTTATAAGTCTAATATTACTAAAACGAACCTACACTATGATTATTCAGTACCGACTTCTCAAAATACCATCAATAGATAATTCTCCAACATTGAAAAAATATGAAATCGGATTTCTCTGAAATTCAGCTAGAACGAATTGTTTGCCTAAAAGTTATGACAAAGCAATATTGCGAAAAATACCATCGACCGAACTTATTTTCAAAGAAATTACCGAATATCAATACTATCTCCGACTTACCTACATTCCGTAAGTAGGCTTCACCTCGTTTTTTTGCCAAAATACGAGAGATTTTTACAAAAAGATAAGTTTAAATCTTAAACTGATTTTCCTTTTTTCGTTTTGTGACTGAATTTGTTCACAGTTTGTCGCTAGATTAGGTTGGAGATTGAACGTGGCCGTGGTCAATGAAAGATCAGACGTTTTATAGGAGCAAAACGACTGATAGCCATCTTACGAACATTTTTTACAAGACCATAGGCATAAGGCACCGTAGTGCCTATTCATAGTTTTTCTGTTCACTTTTGTATGTGTGGGTTGATTTCCCTTCAATGCGACATACATATTTATTAAAACCTCATAAACGTTATACAATATGAAGGGCAGAAAAACTAAGGTATGGTCGCCATTCGCGGTCGCGTGTTCGGAAGTGTCCGCTTAAGGATATAACGGGCCCACTGGATATCAAGACAGGGTTCCGTATGCAATCTTGTTACTGAGATGCAATGCCGTTATCTTACCACTAGATTGTCGATGCCTGTAATAAACTTGTTTACCCATTTACTCATAACTTCACGAGCTGTACTTTGACAACCTGCCGAACTGAATAGATAAACCATCAGTTTAAATAATTCTACACATTTATTAAGGACATGTCTTCCGGCTTCTACAAGATACCATCTTTAGATGAACTATTTCGAAATTATTAAAAGCTTTTTCTACTAAATTACCGTGAAAAAATATATTGGACAGCAAAAGTATTTTCAATTTATCTAAATTGTTGCATAAATTCAATTAAGTATTCGATTAGCAGCATGCGGTGCGCGGGCGCTGACCTGCGCAGCGACCGCATGTATCGGCGCGCGGGCAAGGCCGCCCAAGGCCGTTATACTCGCTGCTATATAAACGACGCGCTTCAAATTAATAACCGCCCAGATTAATGCTTAATTAAGCGGATGAAGTGAATTCCCGTGGAATGTACTAAACCCACCAGAAGACCTATTATCTTTATTTACAACCCTGGTCATATTTAGCTCTAACGCACCTAAATGGAAATACTAATAAATTTTCATCTAATGATAGGTACACAATAAACATTGCGTACATATCTCGAACTAATTGACAATTCCATTAGCCATTAATATCTCTCGGTGTGTGGCTGCTGGACTTTCTAGTAGCTGTGCCATTTCCTCATTATACGACCTCTGGGCTTGATTATCTTGGTGATCCACGCACCAGATAAGTGTATAATTTGCGTAATTTCATAAGGAAATATTAAATCAGCTGTAATTTAAGTAAACTTACTCGCTACTTTATAGATTTTTTGCCGCAGCCATATTTCCCGTGTTCTATATCCACAGCAGCTATTATCTCAGATTTAGGGCTGCACGACGATGAAGCCGCGTTTTCGGGCGCCACAAAAAATCCTATTCAATTTGTGTATGGCCACCGTTATGAGAGCACGCACGATCGCCGCTATCATCGCCGCCGCCTCTCCTCATACAATACCACTGTTCTTTGATAGTTTTTGCAGCAAAATGCAGCGTCTGTTATCATGACTCGGCACATTCTCTCATTGTAAACATAACTAACGAAATTATGCTAAGGTATCATCGACGCCGGTGTGGCTATTCACTGTGAATACACCAATTACAATGCTAAATAGATACCGTCGGACAAGGTTCCGCTTGATCAATTCTGTAATGAATATCACTTTTATCGAATATATTAGTGAAGCCGCGCATCAGACGTGGGACGTTTTTATGCTTGTGAATCACTTTATTGAGATCGTGACGTAATGACAATAGTCTTTAAACGTTCTCATTATTCATCTTCGCCGCAAAGCTTTACCTCATTATATTTCTAATAGGATTACTCCCATTACTGTCTTCCAGAAACCCCTATTTAGAATATCCCATAATTCCTTTGGTCTAACTAAATTACTATTGCAGTTCCTTATTTCGATCATAAGATAACCTCGGATCTGTGTGTAATTATGTTTTGTCTATAGATGAGGAAATGCAAGGGATTGAGTTTATAACGGTATCAGTGCGGGAAAATACCCGTGTAGCTGATTATTTTATGTGTTTTGCCCTACCTATAGAATGAATCGCCGGTAGACTGATGCCAATCTTAATGCCATAACACGGCTTTACGTAATCGAGTAGCAGGCATCCCGATTGCTTATAGCGGAACACCCATCCGTGCTATGAAATTATCTCTAACAAGGTATTTGCACTTGGCTAAACGTAAACTAAACAACTTCTCGTTAGAAGCCCCTGCGATCAGTTTGTATAGTTTCGTACCGCTCGTCAATAAAAGTGAATATCCGTCTACTGTCTTCATCCGAAAGTTACATGGTCACGATCTGTTCCTTATAACAACATGGCAGAGCATTATTTTCTCTTAACAGCCAGCATCATCTCCCGTACTCGTAGTTGCAAATCGATTGTATCGGTTCGATCGAGGCGAGTCAACTCGATTAAAGTACATCGAACGCTTTTGACCCTGACCCTGCAGCATGCGGCGTGGCGTGAGATATGGACTCGCCAGTGTTTACGTCTTGTTAGAGGTTCCGACTTCAACTATTAGGAGATTCATGTTCTTAACTTGTCGAGAACTGCGGACTGACGTATTTAGAAAATGCAGTTACAGTTCCCTCTTTGAAAATGCATCGGCACATTTATCTAAAACTTGTTTCACGGTATAAATCTGTAGAGTGTCGATCGAGATGGCATAGAAGTGCCGATCAGTCCTGAGTTTATGATAATACGCAAAACACGTTAGATCACCTACATTTTCATTAAATGTCAAGTAATACAATTTCTAACAGTTAAACGGTTCGTTGAAGTGTTGCGGTTGATTCACGGCGTTGGCTCACACCATTCTGTTTCTACGTCTAATCTGATAAAGTGGCAAAAACAATATGTATTGTATGTGCCAGACATTTCTCACGACTACCGTAGCTGTAGGTGAGAAGTTATTCACCACTTCGCCGCAGCCGCTGAGCAACGTTTAACAATTAACTTCCGTTGCTTTAGCCTACGCTAATGGCGTTATTATAGAGATTTGCATCGCTTTATTGTGAAAAATCATAATTAGCGTCGTTTTTTAACATTCACTTACTGATCACTCATCTTTGTTTACTTGTAAACCTTTAACATAGCTAAAAGAGATATATCTATGAATGAGTCGACATCGTTGTCTATTAGACGCGTAGAGCATCTATCTGGCGCGTCGTCGTAAAACATGATCATGACGTTAGCAAATACGTATCCCGTTGCCCGCTAACGAGCGCTAGTAATAGCATATATTTCAAATAAAAAGCCCACAAGGTTTTTAGGGTTCAAATGATCGAGCACTTTTCCCTCGACCGCACGTTAATTTTATGACTAGGTCTTATACCTCTAGATAGAACTGATTTTACAAGAACCTGTCCAGTCTCTTAAAACGAGCACTGACAGTTTTATTGTCAAATTTACCTTTTTTCTCAAAATTCGAGTGACTCAAAACATAAAGTCGGTCACCGCAAATCACCGCTACTAATGTCAGTACGTTTCCCAAACAATAACAGAACTCTTAAAATCAAATAAAAAAACGAAACCACATGCTTTTGGTAGAAAGTGGTACTTTTTATCGAAAAATTGCGGTAACACTACTTTAAAAATAATAAAAAAAAATCGTTGATAATTCCCAGCTTTCTAGGAAAGCGTGTTAATACCGGGCTGACGTGTAACTGTATCGGACATTGCACGTTGCGCTGATTACGTTCTTAACAAAAACCGTTGGCATGTCTTGCCAATGTGTTATTATTGAGCTGTATGCATACGCATTTTATTCATATAAAATTTAGTAAGAGATTGCTAACTAGGCTTTAAATTATAGGTGTTCCTAATCACGCTCCTAATCACGTTCATTGTTAGACATAGCTGTTGTGCTCTTGTTCTAAACATACCTTATTCTCAGACCTACTAAAAACAATATTTTATCTAAACAAAAAGATTTTTTGCTTCCCTTTTTAAGAGGAACAATGAAACCATAGATCAGCCGTCTAATCCAGCACTAACTGAGTTTAATTGCAATTTTTTCTTAACACTTTCCTAATACGTCATTTTGCGCGTGCCTTCCGCTTCCTACGCCTTAAAAAAGAGTACATTGCCTTGATTTATAAGTACGTAAGTATTAAACCAGTTGTAGAATAGTTTCTCCAAGTATTATTTAAGTGATCGCTTCTCTCTTACTTGTATTTTTTTTTAAGTTAAATTACAAACGACCGCACGCCGACTGCACACGCGAAAATTGTAAATACCTCTAAGAACTATACGTTTCAATCACACGGATCATAAATAGCTGGTTGGGAAACTACCGTTTGTAAAAAGGAATCTCTTCTTGGAAACCCCAAAGTCTACAAGTTAAGTTATTGTCATTAATTTTAAGTATAGTTTTACCAAAAATATGGTACAATCTCTTTAGGTTATTAAGGATAAATTTTATGATTCGAAAGGGCATTAGAGAAAAGAAACTGTCTTGGAACAGACACAGTACTTAACGTCAATAGTATAAGAGTCTAACCACTCGATTAATTGAGTAAAAGAAGCAAATAGAACAAGAGTACAAAATCGGCAGCGGATAATTACTTCATTCCTACTCGCAGCCAATTTGCAGAGGTAATGACGTCCCTAAACGTTTACACCAATCACTTTACCGACCACTTACGTACGACAGTCTCGCACATTATCGCGAAATACTTGAGCCTACAACACTAGCCATACAAACGGACAATGTATCGACTTCGAAGAAAATATACTGACATACAAATTGTTTTCACGTACAATTCTATGCTTCGGACTTCATACAACACGAAGGTAACGCGTAACAAATATTAATCATATCCTCTTTGCGAATTAAATGGCGTATTAATGTCGACTTACATAGCACTTTTATATTTTACGATGATCATTTTGACAGCACAATGGACTCGAATTCCAGTAGACAATGTTTAATATTTAAATAATGCATCGTATGGCATTAGTTGAATAACGCAACATAGTAGCGAGGTAATATAGGTTGGTATATTATTTACATTTTCCCGCGTCGCTGCCTACAAGGGTGAATGTACCTGCACCTAGGCCAGTGTACCAGCCAGCAACAAGCTTCATTTAATTGTCAGCTATTATTGCAAGGTGTCATTAGGTAGACCGACATTCGTTCTACTTTCTTATCAAAGACATGTATTCAATTTATTTAATTGCGGTTTTATGATTTACATAGTCGTGCATTTTAATATATAGGTAGTCCTAATTAGTTGTGAAGTTTTAATATTAATGCTGGCTGTATGTATATGTGTTTGCTATCTTTTGTCTTTGTTTATGTTAAACATAGATTTTATCTAGGAGATGTCGAGTAAAGTATAATGCTGGATGGTCGATACTGCTCTTCATCATGGCGGCGACTAGAACTCCTCCCACAGAAATATGGCGCTATCAAAAGAAAGTACTAACAATAAATACTTCAGAAAGTACGCCGGGTTCGATCTCTTCCGTGATTCAGTTCTAGATGGCCGGCTTCCGCTAAACGTACGACCAAATAATAAGCTCTGTTCGCTGCAGTTGTAAATAACACATTGTATGCTCCCGTCCGACTTAAATATATGCATTACGTGCAGTTCCACTTTCTAAGTAAATTATATTCTTTACGACACTATGACCAGTGAAATGTAACGAATTTATGAACAGAAGTATTGCTACTATGGAAACTTATACGATCGCATTTTCAAAAGTCGAATCGTGCAGATTGTATAATCAAGTCTTTGTTGAAAATTTTCAATTACACTTCTTCGGTTCTTTTTAACCAATACCCCACTGTATAATTTTGAATTTATATTAAACAATAGCGTACAAAAATGAGAGCTTTTAAATTCATTATTACCTACTCCATCTTCAGATGATTGAGGTGTAGTCACAGCGCCGGGATCATGTAATTATTGACCATATGAAGTCATTACAAGATTTTAAATTAAGGCCAGTATTATTTTCCCATTATCAATCGGCGACAGAGCGTAATAACATACTAAAAATACAAATAAAACATTAATGTCACCGTGTTCTATAGTTTTTTGAACCGTCCAAAGTGGTTTATTCAGTTTTTAGTCGACTACAATTTACTGCGACTTGTACCTGATGTATCTCGGCTCGGCGCTTGCGCACTAGCGAGTTTAAATAAAACAGTGTTGTTATCGTTATAGCTTCGACCCACACTTTAAACTGGGTTAGTATTGCAAAGTACATGTTTCAGATTTATGTTTTCCCATTTTATTTCGCTGAAATAGAACCTTAATAAAGTTGCAGCATTCGTAATAGACTACAATGTCGATAAGACCAGTATTCGATGTAATCGGTTTGACATTTATAAGTAAACAAATAATGTAAGTACTCACTTTCACAGAAGTTCTCGAAGTACTTTCCGATGGGTTCTCCATCATCGATGAGTGGTCTCTCAGCGTTGAGGTACGCTGAAGGTCCATCAGGCAGGGTGTGGTGGTCCAAGTGGTACAGTCGGCAGTTGTACGCGGCTGAGTGAGGGGGGCCCATGTAAAGGTAGGAGCGACACAGGAACTCTGACTCAATTTCGCATGCGAGCCGGCAAGCTGCTTCGGATGTAACCTGATCGAATACAAAACAGATGGCCATATTAAAGATAATGACAACGTGATTCATGACCATTTTGTATCGCAGTCCCACTGCGTAACACCTACGCAATTAGATGCATATTTATTTAGCACCTGGAGACGTATGAGAAGGATGTACATATCACTGACAATAAAAACAAAACGACTCGAGTCTTGAAACAACATGATTGTGTGGGTGTAATAAACTGACGTAGGTAATGGCTCCTATCTTCCAAGTTGAATATTTCATAAATTCACTTTTATCTAGTAGCCAGTATTGCCCCACTCCTAAAATCACTAGTATCCATAACAAGAGGCGATATATCAGTGTCTTAAGTTTACAACGATTGCGTACGAAAGTCAAGTTAATTGCAACGTCTTCCTTCTTGCGATTATATACAAGTGCACACGATTTAACCTCTGCCACTTCTCGTTAAACCAGTGGGACGCGGAAAAGGACAGACCCGCAGTCGAAACCCATTTAGACGACAAGTAAATATAATTAGAAAGTTTCCACAAATGACAGATCATTTTGCATTGCCATAAAGGACCAAGGTGCAACTCATGAAGACTGTAGAGATATCATCACAGAAACCAATAAAGGTGTAATAAAACGCAAGCATATTTCCCCGCTTACCCTACTCAAACTTTAATAGGCGCTTGTCAGCAACGCGTCTTTTTTGCATATCCTATTTCAGGGACCTCTGTATTACTTACATTACATTGATTGGAAGCTAAATTGAATCATGTGCTGGATAGCATAAAGTTTATAATTGGTGTGATAGACTACCTGCAACTCCTTGTCGGTGTAGTAGTGTAGGCCGGCGTACTGGGCCACCTTGTCCTCGGCGACGCCGATGCGCGGCGCTGTGAACACGCGCTGCCCCTTGCACGCCTGCGACGCCTTCAGGCACAAGTTCTGCACGACCACACACCAACCAAATCACGTCAAATAACACACAACAATGGTAATAACGTTAACTGAATACATGTTTATTTTCACGACCAGCTTTCAAACGCACCGCATTACTATTGTGATTGGTTTCTATGAAGCCAACCAAAGCACCACTTCAAGTAATTTAAAGCTGGTACGATATAAATGAGCCAGGTAAGTAATTTTAAGTCGAATGTTTCTTGTATATTGCAAAATATGAGCGACAGAAGAATGTGAATCTTGTTTTATGATGTCAGCTGAAATTGCTTTAATAATCTTAACGTCGCATTGAGTTGAATTATTGCTGCGAATTATGTTAAGCGTTGCTCTGTTTAAAGTTTAGTTGCGACGTTAAATGGTTTGCTTTGTAACAAATGGGAGGTTGTAAGTGTTAAGTAAATGAGTGTAGTTTTGTGTTTAATGTGTTTTACCTCGAAGTAATCGGTGCCGGGCGTGTCCACGAGCTGCACGAAGTGTTGCGCCGTGCGTCGGTCGGAGTCGCTGAGCGAACACCGCATGCTGCCATATTCATACTCCGCTGAACGGCACGGGAACTTTTTCTAAACAACATGAAACGTAAGAATGATTAGCTCTCATTAACAGTAAACCACGGCAGCTGTGAAATACCACGATTGCCTGCGTAACCATAGCAAACAACGATTCATCATTAGACACTTAAAAAATAATGTTGATTGTATTTCTTATCATATTGATTGCCCATATAATGCGAGACACAAAACAATAATATTATATTACCTTGTCTCAAAACAGTTATTAATCTTATCTTAAGATCTGTCCAACCAATTAAGCCATTCCTGTGCACTATGATCAAATTAAATGCAAAGAAACAATATGGCGACACTATCTTTAGTTATGTAAATATCGCTTGTAGATCCAACTGGTTGTAAATGAAAAGATTACAAAGTGTGGGCTTCAGACGCATATTTACGAACTTACCTCCTTATTGCATCAATTTATGTAATTATAGACTAGCACAAAGCGATACAATGTTACATTAAAATTTTACTCTTAAAGATCTTCAAGAATTTTATTGTGGCATCAACAGATCACTTCTTTGTTCTACGTAAGATGTTTTCAATTTTTTCAGCTATCACAGTATTCTATTTCTAGTATTGGTTCTAGGTATAGCTAGCTAGAAATAGGTGGTAGTTAGTTACCTACTAAGATAAGTAACCTCAGTCTGTATACTATAGAACTCATGTCACTACACTTAGATGACTTGGGATACATTTTTCTATGAAACTAGACAGAATATGAAACCTAAATTGTCACATTCCTAACTACTATTCAGGTACAGGAACACAATAGAGCAGTGTTTATAGTCGAGAGCGTATTGAAGGAACCCCTATCATTTCGTCGGTATCTTGACTGCCACTACAAGTAGGGCAAAACCATAAATATAAATTGAATAGATAAACACTAAATTGCAGCGTAGTCTGATGTTTTCTTAAAGGCTCGTAGATAACCGAGCGTCGCGACACGCCCCGAAAGACATCTAACGGCTACAGAATAATCTATGAGCCGATACCTCCTCAAAATCCTAGTGCCCTGGTATTTCATTATTTAGTATTCCAAATGCATGACTGCATAACATAAATCTTGTAAAGTATTTTTATTTTATTTCTCCTCCCACGATTTATTAAAGTCCTTGCGATGTCAGTACGGATGCATTTCCGTTAACATTTTTAAATAGGCATCGCAATGATCACGGTTGTAAGATAAGGAATAAACTGGAATTGCCATTAATTAGGGCTTGCCTAAGGCACTTTGATATATACATTTAGTTTAACTAACAGATAGAAGTTGAACAAAAATCCTAAAGTAAACTATATTAAAATATTACATGAAGAAAGGGGACTCTTGAATGTGTAATTAGTTTAATAGCGACAAAATTGGAATCAATATTGGTCTTAACCAGATTCGGATTAACTTCCGGCCACTATTTTACAGAGCGCGTGGCACTACACATATCTACAGTGTTTACGTCGAAGTTTTTTTGTACTACTAGATACATAATTCTAATAGTTACTATGATAGTTTACCTCGTTAAGACAGGCGGCGAGACAGGCTTCTTTGGTCGACGTGTAGATGACAGAGTTGTCAAGTCCGCGCAGCGCCTTGCCTGGCACTCTCTCGAACGCCCAGGGCCGCAGGCAAACGCTCTCTGTACGCACTTGCAGCTTCACCATGTAGTACGTGTTCACTGACCGCTGCACCAAAACATTAATCTCACTTTATGGCATCGTAATCGATAGTACATTCACATAAAATTTGCATACTCTTATTGGAAACAGCATTACTTTAAGTGCCAACGATTCATCTGATCATATCAAAGCAATTAGTTATGCAGATTTATTGATAGTTAAAATAGGCTTCAACAATACGTCTATACGTTGGGGATTGAATACCAATTATGAGATAGAAAATACCAAAAAAATAAGCAGTCTTTTTGGCAACACTTAGTAAGGCACAATCTTCATTTGTTTTCAGCTGTTTACCACCAGATAATTTCACTTTAATTTCATTCATTCAAAATAAACAAAGAGAGTCTGTGTCGGGCGGTGGCGAGCCGCATCGTTTAACATCGTATATTTATTGGCGGCACCGTTCATTAGGCCTGAAAGCGATTAAACTGTCTAACGTTTAGCTGAACAGTTACAATGTAGTGGTGGCCAGTTAGGTTCCCGGGGACTGGTTGACCGATTTAATCTGAATTGTTAATCCAATCTCTGCATCGGTCGGCTAATTGGCAGTAGTGAGGGAATGCCAGGAGATAAGCGAGATAAATTTATTTGGCTATTAAATACGTTCACAGTTACCTGTTACGTGCCCCAGACAAAGCATGTCTAGTAGATTATTATGATAGTGTGTTACTAGATGGGAACATAAGTTCCGAACGATAAGCTCTATAAACGGTTCGCAGATAACTACTTCAATTAGGCCGAGGAATGGCAAATTCCTTCGAACCAATTCTATTTCTTTGGTCGTATTGTCAGTCGCAATAACGTTAGATCGTACGTGCCACATGTTGGTGAGTGAATTAGTACGTACCTGTGGAGTGGCCATGGGGTTGTTGGCCTGAGTGTCGTTCTGAAGGAGGCATCGCGTTTCTTGCACCGGTGTCAACGGATTCAACACAAAGCTGTAACAAATATAGCAATTAAGGATGATGTAAATGGCCATTAGAGTTCGTACTTGTACACAGCATCACTCGGTGTATTCATATCATTGGAAACATAAAGTCATTCTACTCTCACTGCAATATTATAATAACTACTTATTCTACGTCTACAAAAGTGGCTGGTACCCTGCAAGCAAGACTGTAGTCTATTCAATAGTAATCTTATAGCAAATCATACTTTAAACAAGTAAAATGGCAGCCGATACTGTATAGATTCCAGACGCTAACGCTTTGCAAAATGGCCGTAAACTGCCTAATTATATTTTATCTTAACAGTTTTATTTTTACATTCATTGTGAGCAACCGGCACTAACTGTTGTTTTATTCCTACCGTAATCTTTCCAACATGGCGATACGGTCGTTTTTCAATAAAAGAGAGTCTTACATCCACGGTGCTTCACCTGTAAATCGGGCCAAATTATTTCATTAGGTACGATCCATTCGCCTAACTCCGGAGGATTGGAATTGCAAAGAAACCGTTGTACCGAGCCGTAACGAAATAAACACCGGTTTACAAAAATATGTGAAATGCGTCCGGTAACCACATTTTTGTTACAATCAATTTACAAGTTGACATTTGTCGGACAGTTATACTATTCTGCAAACCTACTTAGCACAATATTGACATAAATTGAACATTTTCGTTCACAATTCTTTGCAGAAATATTTGTCGAAAAATTGTGATAACTGTATCTAAAGATGGTCTATATAAAAACCGTTTACATAGTGTCGTTGAGGATTGTCATGACGAATCGTTTCGTAAATCTTTTGATATCTCATTCATCGATATCCATTCAACCGTTTCAGACCAACGTGGGAATGGAAAAAGCATTAATATTTACTATATTGTGTTTGATTGACATAAGAAATAACATCAATATTTTAGCGTGAACGTGTTAACTGATGGAAGAGTAAATATTTATAGAATATCTATTAGTGATGGGTATCGTCACGGTCGGTTTGCCCATCCCGTTATTTATTTGTTATCGAACAATTTTCACAATAAAATGATTCGGGTTTTTTAGTAATTGAAGCATTTTACTTTAATTACTTCAAGTTAAAGGATTCTTTTTTAGTGTGGATGGTAAAAACATGGCAATTGTCGACTGGCACGTCGACGGATTGATTTTTTAGTAGCGACATGTGCCGACCATTGCTCCAGGAAGTATGGGGCAACAGTCGAGAGCAGAATGTAGTGACAGGTAACGTGATAGCGGGACTGTAAATACCAAACATTTAGGTGAGGATAAACGTTAGAAAAAAGTCAAATTAAAATCAACAATTACCCGAAGCAGGGAAGTAAATGACTGTAGTCCGGGATAAAAATCACTGCACGATATTGTTCAATATAAAAATATTAAAGAATCTTTTTATTCTACTAGCGATATCACATCTCAGTTTAATCTTCTTCACAATAAAACGACAGAAAATCTTGATCGCTATCTTTATAATACATGCTTTTATTTTATTACTTGACTGCCTAGACACTAATAGCCCTTCGCCGACTACCTAATGATATCCATACACATTGTACTCATAAAAATATACTCGTACAAGCTTCTTATACATTTTCTAAAACGTAGACATCAGAAAACTATTATGATGAGATAATATTAACTTTGAGTCTGCCATGTCAGAATGCTTGTATCTATGTACCTACATCTTGTAGTATGGACCTACATCATTTTTACAAAGAATATAGATCTACATGTTAGTTGTAACCAATAAAGGTTGTTTTAAAAGAACATTATGTCGGCTTCATTGTAGAGATTCCCGTAATAGGTCAGGTAAAAGACCATATGCATGAATTTAGTGGAAGCCTTAGTGTATCCTAATAAAATAAAAGCATAAGTTTCGCGTAATATCATCCCTAATGTGATCCTATTATATATTGGGTGAAGTCATAAGGAAAAACTAGAACTGTATATGAATTAAGTACTAAATGTGCACCAGTGGGATATCTACATAACTTTTCTAATGATAGACAGATCAAATACACGACTACGGATCTAAAACCAATCCGAAACCTCATTAATATACAAATCAGACATTTTTTAATAACTATAATTAACGCAGACACATTATTTATTTATCTGTCGTGTTGAATTTAGAGTTCTCAACATATCCGTTTCCGTTGAACAATTAGAAATTGTAGAAAATCGATAGCTCGTGGATTTCGAAATATGGCCGCGGAAACGCGTGGGATATCGTCAAATAGATAAACGATTATAGCTTACTATCAATTTTATTTGAATTTATTATTGAGATATAAATTTAAAATGTACGTTTTACATTCCTGTATTAGTATGTCTACATAAATTTTTGTAAGCTTCGTTATTAAAATTGCGTGTATGAAATCGCTAAGAACGATAGGTGCGGGCTAGCTATTTGCATTTTCTATACATGTCATATGAAATGAAGATTTTATTTATTAAATATTTAAGTCTATTTTTAGATTAGCTATTTCTATCTAGTTGTGGAACGCAGGTAATAACTCAGTGCTCACGAACTAGGGGTGTTAATGTTCGATAAATTTATTTTATTACGTTCGACCATGCAGGTCCTAGAATAACGGAGCTTACCGTTCCTCGCGATATTTCGTGCTGTATAAACTGTAGCTAGTTTACGGGATTACTTGACTTATTAATGTGAACACATACACGTATATTGCAAAATACATCCAACTTACACAGATTAAGGTGTAGTTACTCAGATTTATCTTTCATAACTGTCTACTTGATCAAGTTAGTTGAGAATGTGGATTTTAATAACCTAGCGTTAATTAGTGCTGAGTTACATGAACTAACTACACGAGAACACGACGTGAAACCACACACCCGTGCGGTTTCCGCGATGTTCTTTCAAATCCAAATCTTTTTTCTAAACTTTCGTTCTATGCACAACTGCCATCAATTAAAGAAAAAACAAATAACTATATTTTACGAACCAAGCGCACTCCGATTCTTATCCAGCCAATTTTAATCTTAATCGGTCTATCTACAAGCCGTAACAATATAATAATAACCATTTGAAAGCTCGACTCTGACAAATTGCCAAACTTTAGTTAATAAATGACTGTTTATGCACCTACTTGTAAACAAAGAATTCGTATAAAAAACTTTATGATTAATGGGTCGATAGAGCCCTTAACTAATGACATTGCATTTCGACTTGGTTTCACAAGACGTAATAAATCTTTGGAGCGCACTTACTGTTGAACAGTAATTAAATGGGAGATCGGCTAGTCTTTACCAGCTGTGAACTGATTTGAATTCACTGCCCAGGTGTGTGTATGCACAGGTGGGCTACTGTGAATATGTATGAGTGTGTGGGTAGATTAGGTAATTAATGATCAGTTTGGTACGAGGTATGAGTGTAAATATGTGCACGAACGAATAGATTAGAGATTCGTATGCTCTTCAAATCATCTGAAAATAGACATGGTAATTCTTAATTTTGTTTTCTAATCTTTTTAAACTGCGGACCACAGCAGGCAAGCTTAGTCAAAGTCAAAGTCAAAAGTCAAAATCATTTATTTCAATTAGACCAGGATGGCACTTTTGAACGTCAAACAACAAAAATTTATAAGTGAAGCTAGTTGCTCATTCCAAGGCGTAGATTCCTATGGAGAAGAACGAGCAAGAAACTCCATAGGTTACTCTTTTTCAATCAGGTTTACAATACAATTCTCTAGTTACATAGTTTTATTGGTTCGATTATGTGAGAACAATGCAACACCTAAATCCAGTCAGAAAGACTGAAAAAGAAAATAACCTTGAAGATAATAAAATAAAATGATACAGTCTGGAGCTGACCAGTTCCAATCGACGGTGCCCGTTCACGAACATTTGGCGAACCCTAGCACCGCCCAACTCAACCATTTTGTAGGGAATCGAGCGATCCAATGCACGTGCCACCGCCAACGAGATCTTTGAGTGAGCATGACAACTCCAAGCTGACATAAATGCAATCTACTAGTCTAATTTGATTTAATTAATTACAGGGCTCTCACATTTACAATAAATTGTGCAACGTTTTACAGGCCAGGCGATCACCGTTTGATAGTAAACGGTGATGTATGTAAAGCCTGACAACTGTAACACTAGAAGCATTAGGTACAAGTGCTTTCCTGACTGTGGAGAAATTCTGTTCCAACTTCATTATATGAAATTTCAATTCAAGCATCCCACTTCTTGGTACTCGCCACTTAGTAACAAACCCACGGAGATAAATTCTTAGCTGTTCTCCATGTCATATTTATGATTACACGAACACAATAGGCCGATACTCGATCAATGTTCATTACGTGTGCATTAGTATGCAAGTATCGATTTACCTTCTAAAGCTGCGTGCAAATTACACGTGATATCAACACAAGATATGCATAAACCGTTCCATGAGAAAGTAGGTTTTGATTTAACGATTGCAGCACACACGTAATTAGTAAATGATGTTATCTCTTGAACATTTTTCAGGTTCACGCTGCACCAATTAGCCTAAATTTTGGTGGGAAAATGTTTTGAATAAAAAAGTATTTTTTATAATACCATAAAAGTTACATGCATTACTTTTATAACTGTTCTGCATTTTACATAATCGATTCTTCGAATCAGTGAACTTGTACGATTATATAGGTAGAGTCACGATTCATGAAACGATTTTCGTATCAAACGCTTTGATGCTTTTACGATGCATTTTCCGGCAATAAACATTGCAAAACTCTCAATCATACCATTTAGAACTATCAATGCAGTATAAAATGATAATTGGTCTTCTATCTTTCCAAATACAACGCTATCTCTCTAAATATACATGGGGCAATCAGCATATTTTCGTATATTCCTTAGCAATTACGGAACAAACAGGTTCTAAGTCTCGTTGTGCGGGTCGCTTAGTTCAGTGCCAACGTAATGACGAGTTATGCATTTGTGCCAAGGGCTTACAAGGACGTCAATCAAGTGAGCCCAGCTAATGGCAGAGAGAAGCGCACACTATTTTTAGAACCAAAGACTAATGTCCGTCACGTCACTTTGATTATTTAATTTTAGAGCTGCACTCGTATTATCGATACTCAATGCATTCTGCAAGCCGCGGGCGACAGATAGATTATGCGACGTGACAACTTACGTAGCTGTGAGAATAATAATTTGAACGGAAATTGTGCTATCTGTATATATTAAACTCAAATACCACATACATAAATAATCATAGTTCAACAAATGGCATTTCCTGCGTTCAGTAACATCAAAAATAGAAAACGCACTCGTAAAAAATTAAAACGGATTACCTAGCTAGATACTACTCTCTGAATAAAACCGCAGAAAGTAAATAGGATCAAAGAGATTGTAAAAATACAAAGTAAAGCTCTTTGATTCCCATACCGCACGATTATCCCGCATCTTAAAACCGATACAGCAATAAATGCGGCTCATCTAGCTGAGGTGGTACAAACTGTACTATCAATTACATTGGCATATAATCCAAACCGCAGACTTTACAAATTGCGCATATTACATCGTATTTATAGAGATTACAAACGTCCTAACATCATTACGGCATTGAGGTTATTATGGGCACGCCAGTATCAACTAGTATTTACGTTTATTACACAAATTGGTCGGATCAGACCGATCATCAGATCGGCGGAGTCCGTTAGTTAGCCGAGGCGCCCGTGGACCCTGCGCATCAATCACGCGCCGACCAGCGCAGGCGCGACCGATAAAACGATGGCATCCCAAAAACACCTCGCACTTCATTAAATGTTGCAGTAGCGTAACCTTCAAATCTTCTGATAGGTAAATTAATGACGCGTTATCTGCGATGAGTAATGCGCTGTTTGTAAACACGCTACTTTCGACAAATCTTTTTGAACTCTGTAATCTTTCACTGCCGTTATGTTTCATCGTCCATCAATTGACGCTACTATGTTAAACTTGAGAACAAGTTGTAGTACGTCTTAAATGTTATCTCTATAGCTGCCAATAATTAATGGATTCGATTAAATTAATGTTGTAAATCAATTTACTTTATGTTGTTTTTAGGAACCTAAATACCAAATATGAATTCATTTGGAGAAAACGCGTGGTATCTGCTTTTACTTTTTATAAATTACTCGTAATGTTGACGCATAATTAACACAGTTATGTTACATCCATTTTTATCAAGACACGCAGTAGAAAGGACTTTAGCATGCTAACATTTAGGTACAAGTAATATTCGCAAGCCAGGCAGCGTGCTCGTAAAGATTTTATCAAAATTTGACAACATCAGATAGTGCTAGTGGAGGTCGTGATCTGTACATTTAAGATATTTAATCCACGATTTAAAGTCAAGTTTACTTTGGAGTCTTGAACAGACAGAATGCTATCTGGTCGAGCGGGTCGCTCCCGAATACCGTAAAATGTTCTAAAGACGAGTCAGTGGCACCGCGGTAAACAGTTACCGATTGTTAAAATCGCATTCGTCCCATTCTTTTGTCAGATTGCTGGATCGCTATTTCTTCGGACGGATCGATTCAAGATACGTACATGTTAACTCACAATGGTAGATTAGAAGCGCGGGAAAGTTCCGACTCGTTTAATTGAATACCGAATTGATTTTCGATCGATCCCGTTCAAATTGATTTCGAGGAATCTAACTAGCGTTTTAATACTGTTACACGGTTCAATTCAGTCTAATACAATTACATGTTTTTGCAATGCACGCCAACAGCTGTGATAATGAACAGAGGCGACATGATGATGGGACGACAACGAGGCGACAAGAAAAATAGATACTTAATCAATTTTCCAACACTTTCTTCTACCGTCTGCCATTGAATCATCACTTCTTCAAATAGCACTATATATGCACATACCAGACTAGAAATTGTCCCATAAGCATTCATTGCATATACATTGTGGGAGCGGTTGGAATGCATAGAAACGTATGGCGTCTGTTCCAAATCCTAAGCAAGACGATTGCTACATAGTGTGAATCAGAACGTTGCAGACAATAACAATAAATTATAATAATGCCTTTGAAACCGCCAATAGTCATGAAAACTATCGGGCGTGCTGGAAAATGGTGCGATGGAAATAATATCCATTGAAGACGTATGCGATCACTTTTACTGTTATCCAATTTGGAACGCGGCGAGGTCGGTTTCCGCTTTTACACGGTTTGTGGCTATGCCTGAGACACATTGTTATAAGTCGGCAGCGTGTCGCCGAGCCCGAGCCGGGCCGGGCCGGAGAGCAGGACGTGTGGCAGACTGACACACATCCGCGGCACAACTCGCGAACTCACTACATCATGTAAATTACGTGACTCTGACGGCGACCTCACGAGTCCAGGAGTTATTGTTTAACTGTAATCGCGCAGATTTAGGATTCTGATTACACACGTAGCCACTCCTGTAAGTATGTCGCGCCCTGCCTCGTACTTAAGTAGGCAAACAAAAAATACACAAATAGAGATTACTGATACTCTGAGCTCCAAGTTCAGCCTACGCGAGGAAACTTGATACTAAGTTATGTGCCAAACAAAATAAACAACATGGAGGAGTAAGTAAGCGACTCTTGGACCTCGGATTACTTTCTGCTACGAATATTTCACTACAGTCATTGACATGCGTCGTGCGTTGAAGCGATCGCGGAGGTCGACACGGTACACTTCGGTACGATTTCTCCCCTCTGAGCCACCGATCACCTGAATTAGTGAATCTTCACGTCAATCAGATTTGTATCTCGAACATTTGGGTCAGGAGCATCTAGATCTTAGATAAGACAAACACATTGATTTTTATTTGTTCGTGATCAGTAAGATTGACGAGTCATGTCGGTTGACGTCGTTAAATGCGAATTCTCTATACTAGGTCAGAGCACCGGACGGATTGATTCTACTGACACTATCTTGTCGGTAGTAATTGATATACAATTAATATTTAATGGGTGGTTAAAGTCGGCGCCGCTTTGCTTGTAATGAGCTGTCTACGTTCGTGTGCGGGTGATCGTATTGCCTTTATTGGTAAGTTTAGATATGGTGCGGTTATTAATGGTGGGTATACTACGGTATTTAATTGAAGTTACCTGAAGGAGGCGGCTTGGCAGTCAGGTTCCTCGCGACACCAGCCCTGGCATTCATACAGTGATAGGTTTCGTACTGTGTAGTACGCAGTTCCCGAGAAGTCTACATCAGTCAACTTTTCAAACGCTGTTCGACCTGGAAAAAGACACATTATTAATAGTTGTATCCGATCCGTAAATGAATATACTGAGGTTCCATCGTGCAGCACATAGTTATTTTTTTATCTCTTCAATAGATACTCTAAACTCTAGAACAGTAGGTACGTGTTATTATTTTTAATGACGTAAGCAATATTTTGTATATTATTAGTCTACGATATTACTCGTAATGGAACACGCCAATTGATATACATAGATACATCTTAAGAGAAATATGTCATGTATATTTACGATTATGACAAGGAATGTAGATACTTACTGAGAACAACTGTGGCCTGCAGTAACAGTAGCGCCAGCCGCGCCAAGCGCAGCCCCTCACCCTTCATGGCGATGGAAGAACCGCCTGGAAAATAAATGAACCATTAGTATGTTTACTCGAAAATGATACATTTGTAGACAGACAGAAGTCTTAAAAAAGTGCAGCTTTATACATGCGAAAAACCAGACCTAAACTTAGCTCAATAACCCGTACCTTTACGACTAGTTATTTACTAAACCAACAACCCATTTAGAAGAAATCATCTTAGAAAAACAAGGTCGTAAAAGTTCCCATCGTCGCCTTAACAAACACAAAAAAACATATAGTAACTGTGGTAGGTAACACCGCCAAAGCGACCGGTCTTAAATTCCCTGCTAACAGCAAATTCCTTGGCTCCTAACGTCCTATCTGGTATCAGTATTATCCTATATTATTTGCATTGAAATCCGCATCTGTCTATAGGATCCCTCGTTAGCGTCTTTAAATGCATTATGGCATAAAATACCCCTAATGTCTTCGCATGTCGGATTTAGTCGTATATCCTAGAGTAAGACGGTTAGAAGCCGCTTTCTGCACGTGCTACGCGACTTGAATAAACATATGCTACGGACTACGAAATCTCGTAGCGTTTTGGCAATGTTTGTTTTTTGAACGATATAATTATAATATACACCCAACATTAGATGATTTGTTCTTTTAATATACGTGTGTATGTTTATTATCTATTAATTTAACAATAAAGGTTTTTTTAAGTTGTATGTTCGTCATTGTCAAATTGTATACTTGAACTACACCAGGGATGGATTTGTAAGTTTAACTTTTATTATGCAGTCACTGGACAAAGAATTTTTAATTAACCTACCTATTAATCATTAAAAGCTCAACAGTTAATAATAAGATTATCCTAGAAACTCATTCATTCCATATCTATACATATAATGGCTTATGTGATTTGCGGTTAGCAAACAACAGCACTTCTTCTAAACTGGAGGTACTCAATCGAATCTATGACTCAAAACAGAACCAACCAAATTAAGAAAACACTAGCAAAAAAGAAAACAGTAAATTACAGCTACCAAATACAATACGTATAAAATCGAAAGTTGATCAATAACTAGAACTGTAATAACAAATCGATGATGATTGGCAGAAGTAGGTAGTTATCCTATTATTTATAGGAGGAAGTACAATCGTACACTTCACAAGTAACCAATAAATTACTAATTTAGCAACTTAATGTACCGCGTAATTCGTTACAGATATATCATTTAAAGTACGTGCTCACTGCTCACTGTTCACTGAGTGAGACTATCACACCTTAATATTTCACCTACATACCAGTTCCGAATAAGTCTATTATAGTGAAATTTATTGCCGACAGGATGTAATTCAACAATATTGATTAAAAATGAAAGTAGGAAAGTAATGTGGTTTTCGGCATCCGTTGATTCATATCTTTTGTATGTATGTGTGTTTGTACGGCGTGTATTGTGTGCGCCCGCGCCGATCGCGCTGCGATTGTTTAGTACCTCTTTGTGAGTGTCGATGCGCCGAATGCAGGTCAAGATCAGCACTGCATGGACCCATGAAAGCTAATAGGAAAGTCAGTGACACGAATTTTCATTTACTTTTTTGCATTGCGATATCGCTTTCACTGTACTTTTTATCAAATACAATGAATGATCATTTGTAAACGAGAAAGCACAACTATTGTTGTACAGACACTCTCTAGAAATAACTTCTTCTATATAACGATTCATTACAATGTCTCTGCTTAGTTAAAATTTAAATTGCGATCTATAAAGCACTCGTATACTTTTTATTTGCGATCAAAGCAATCAAGGAACGGAAACCTTCGAAACTAAATGTCATAAAATTCGTCAATATAAATTACTCTTTAGGTACCGCTACGTTAATTAAGTCAAAACACATGAAACATGGTACTGAAATGTAACACATTAATAATCTTTATCAGATCAATGTTGATGAAACAAACGACACTGAGATTTATCGATTTGATACTAAAAAAGACTTTTTAATAAGCAAAACAAGCTACATTTTAGTTTATTTGACTCTGAAATAAGAATTTTTAGTTCTAGTTGTTACCATTAACACGTATTTGCTGTGTGAACACTGACGTACGCATTTAAATGGCGTTCTCTGTTCAATATGTACAAGTAATTGCACTTAGATACCGTTGCCAAGTACTTACCGACTATTATGTGGAGTGATTCTCAAAATTCACCGGAAGAGGTGACTTCGCGGTTCTGGTTTTAAGACTTTAACGAACCACAAAACAATTCAACGGTATTGTGGAATTGTGGTAATGACAACTTGTCCCCATAGTACAGCGAGCGTGAAGGAAACAAAATGCACGCATTCCGTGCACTCCGACGTGCTCCGGCGCAACTGAGCACCGTGCGACGTTTACACGCATTACTGATGTTACACACACATTAGCGTTCCCAAGCAAATGATTTAAATGATTTAAGATGTAAACTTAATGTGTGGTTTTTTTCGTATCTGTTAATAGAATGAATGGTGACAATTTCAAGGTTTCGTTAGTCGAATAGGCACAAGTTCGACTACCCGGCAAGAATTATTTGTCAGCCAAAGTAATATGGTAGCAAGAGATCCCCAAAAACTTCTCTTACTTCTTACTTCTATGTTCCATTAAATATTATAATGTTAATCCTGTGCTTTTAGGCATGGAGTATAATCGGTATAAATGCAGCATGCATGCAATGCAGTATAGTGTAAAGATAATTTTGTTGTATTTTTTATGGTAACGTTACCTAGTTATTATTTATAATTAAATGTAAGTACCAATAAATCATCTACTAATAAGCATTCAATACAAATGCAAACACATAATAATTAAGCATGAAATGAGTTGCTATAGTTAATGTGAATATTCATTGCGTGCAGCAATAATAACTCAATACAAAGACCATAATGATAAACTTTTATAATATTTTTATACCAGCAAATAACATCATGTTTACTTTAGGTGGAACAACTTTGAAATAACAAATGATTCGAGTTGGAACTCGGTTATCGTGTCATACTCGCGTCATTTGAATTTCCGAAATTCTATTTTCCTTGGCGGCTAACAGACGTGTACTTGTATTATCAGTTATTTTAATTATTCAGTTATAGAAATGTTCAAAAAGGATTGCTGAATTGTTTAAGTAAGTATACTATCGCTAATGACACATACATATAATTCACATAAGCACAAAAAACATACAGAAATGACTTTTAATAATAATTCTTATTGTCAAACACAGGGCCCAAACGCAGACTCCATGTTGTTAATCAAATTTTCCGAAATACCAAAAATATCGATTATTTAGTATGCCCAAACCGATACCGTTATAGATAAGTCCAGACAATATGTTATGTAACCAAATTGAACTTTTGAACTTGAGCTAACTAATAACTTGGCATCATAATAAATCTTGAACTCACAGACACATAATTATTTTATTTTTATTGTATCTTTTAAGATCAGACTATATTTATGCTAATGCGACCCTACATACTGCACTTTCAACTGACATATACTTTTATTGTCGTAGTAAATTCCTTTTAATTGGAAGCAAATACCGACGGTTGTAACCTATTTGATATATTAATAGAGTCAAATAATATACCTAAACTAAGATTGCTTTATCACCCACATTCTTAAACTTAATGGACTTAATGGATTTTAAGTAAAAACTGCCGATCTAAAGTTAGACGAGAATCTAGATTTCCAAGAATAGTTTTTGATTACTATAACTAACTAAATCCAACAGTACATTGAACGTGACGAATGTTTCAAAGAATGCGAATACTAAGTTGATTTGTGACCAATTTTGAAATATAGGTAAAAACATTTCGTTTCCTTATCATTTTCTTTTTACGGTTACATAAAGTTTAATTAAACCAAACCTCTTATTTACCGGCTATTTTAGACGAAAGTACAATAGATCTTTTAGCAGTTTAGAAATTTCAAAAATACTTAATTCAACATTGGAATCAAACTCATATCCACTAGGCAAGTCGAAGCAGCTATACGTTCCATAATCAATTCGAATCGCGTAACGACTGTCAAAGGTCCTTAGTCTTTAGCATAAAGAAGCAAGACAATGTGCTCGTTGACATTTATGGCGTTCATATATGGGGGAAACAACGGAAGGAGCCTGCGATACAGTTACTTCACCTATAACACCATGAGTTGATAGCCGAGATGTTCTCGGAGCGGAACATTGCTCCAATCTTGGTCACCCGGCACAATAAACAGTAATAGTTCACTGTTGTGTTGTAGGTGCGAGGTGCTGAAGGTTATGTTTGTATACGCCGCTTTCCTCTCTTTTGAAGAATGAATCAGCACATCAAATATAGTGCTAACGGTTGATAAACGTAAAAGTGTTAGAATTCTACGCTCGTAAACTGTGTTAAACTTGTTTGAAGTGTTTTATTGGACACGCCCGAAACATGTCTCTAATGTATTATTTACCAAAAAGTAGAATTTTGTAAAATTGAATGCTTATCATGACATTGATTTAAGGTTAATACAGTAGAGACGTTTACGGCCAAAGACACTTTTTGTTAACATATTTAATTAGCATCCGGCAGTTAAAGAAGTTGCTACGACAGCTCGAATGAACAGTTAGAATGGAATCGCTCGGCCTCGTAACACTGGAGTGCACTCGGTTAGCGAAGATCATGCTTGAGACAACATGGGTTCCGTTAAGAGTGCACTATAAACAATTATTACGCACAGGTGACGTGATCACGTGATCCATATGTCACATAATGAACGTAACAGTTATATCACGAGCGCGGCAGCAGGCGGCGCGGGCGCAGCCACCGTGCTGTGCGCTCACAAATTGCCCAATTTAACGGTGAACTCGGCTCCGCGATCTTTAAGTACTTCTCAGCATTTCTATCATCGCTCGCTAAGCTCTGCGACGGCGCGGGCGACGCTAACTAGAAACATTTATAACAATAACGCAGTAATCTGTCCGCTGTTACCGCGACAGATGAACAACAGTACTCTTAATTACACTTAACAGCCTTCTACTTTTATACGCGGA